ATATTGATGGTTACTCTTAATTAGTCCCATTATTAGATCCTTAATTCGGCTTGTGACTTGAGTCCCTGATATGGAGAAATGAATAAAAAATTATCAACAATAATGCTAGTATTCATATAAAATAATTCTATTATTAATTTAATTTTATATACTACATGCATTAGTGGCAGATTTATTGTTGAAACAGTTTCCAAAATTTAGGTATGATTTCTGGGCACCATTATTAATAAAGGCTAGGGCGTAATCGACAACTTGTATGAACAAATATTTTTTTATATCCCAAAATCCTAAATTCAAATCAGAATGGTTTACTGTCACGGTCGTCTGACAAGTAGACTTTAATTTATATTTTATCCGAGCGAATATTTTAAGGTAGTAATATTGTTCAGGTTAATGAGTGCGGAACGAAATCTGTTACGTTTTGCCAAAATACAAACTGTATAGAAACTTTTATGTTTCATTCTTGCTGAAAATGGCTTTTCAAATAACTTAGCTGAAATATTGCGACTTCATGTATTAAGCAATTATTTTATCGTACTGGTTTTTATCAATCAGTTATCCAATTTAACACTTTACCTGTCACTTATCACTTTACTATCATGCAATTCTGCAGAGTATCAATTCGGCGCAGTAGCTCAGTTCGGCAAACCTCGTAGCGGGAAATAAGCTACTACTGAATCAAGTTGTCGTAAACCATCATATCACCGTAATTCTTCTATCACATATAGTTTTTATTGATACAATATTAGCAGAACGCATAAATGGAAGGATAGACTGGAGTTATTAAGTGCATTAGGTTACTGTATAAGTGAATTGCATACAAATGACTGAGTGGCAAGCATATATTGATTGCTATGAAGAAGATTCATTGTTCTTGACCAGATCTCTGCACCGCTCTAACTTCTTCCACCTGAGCTTCCTCCACAGACTATTATAAGTACTATTATACAGACTATTATAAGTGCTATTGAGCTGCCTCCCTTCCACCTGAGCTTCCTCCACAGACTATTATAAGAACAATTTACTAGAGTATTATAAGTATTATTGAGCTGCCTCCGCACACTATTATAAGAACTATTGAGCTGCCTCCGCAGACTATCATAAGAACTATTTAACAGAGTATTATAAGTACTATTGAGCTGCCACCGCAGACTATTATAAGTGCTATTGAGCTGCCTCCGCAGACTATTATAAGTACATCAACCACATGGCCTTAAATAATGCCGCTCGATTTTCTGGTGAAATCTTTGTCTTAGTGCTGGTACTGAATAAAAAGCTTCTCCTGTACGTTTTATCTAGTCCTGAATGTACTTGATGTGTAGTAATTCAATGATTACACCTGTACCACGAATTATAATCTTGGTTTTTGCAGCGCCGTATCAATAATAAAAATTACTTAGACATTGTCCAAATAGCGATGCATTTGAAGCCTGTGTGTGGGTCATTCTTTCTCGGCAAAAAAAGCCGAGTAAGGATGTGCTGCGTCCGCAGCCTGCTCATACTGTGGGTAAGAAAGTAAGTCACTTATTGGACAATTTAACCCATCAACTTTTCTGAGTGTAAACAGCATCAAAAAAGCCGTTTAGATCATTTATCAGCGGTGGCGATATTGAGAATTGCCGAAGAATAAATGCATAATAACTTACAAATTTTTTATATAAGTTTAGATTGCATAAAGTTAATGCAAATTAAAATTTTACATGAAGCTAACGGGTTAATTTTCATGTTTAATGTGCATACAGTGAAAATTATTTCGTCCAAAATTTTATTGAACCACGAGCTTATGTCGTCTTACATGAAACAAACAGTCTCAGCAGGATAGCAATGCCTGACAATAATAAATGCAGTCATGCCTGACAATAATGAATGTAGTCATGCCTGACAATAATAAATGTAGTCATGCCTGACAATAATAAATGTAGTCATGCCTGACAATAATAAATGTAGTCATGCCTGACAATAATAAATGTAGCCATGCCTGACTATAACAAATGCACTCACTACTGACTATAACAAATGCACTCACTAAAATCCACACACGCACACGCAACACTTCCGTACGCGCAGTGCATATGGGACCAAATCGCTGGTTTGAGTCGCGCTTTCGTACGCATTTCGTCGCCGCGGGACAGCGTTGCAGCGCCTGGCGCCTTCTTTGTTGCAGGGCAAACTTGTGTATGTGAGTGCGAGACCTTGTCATCCGTACCAAGTTACAGCCATATGAATGTGGTGCGCATTGCGAGCTTTGTTTGTTTTGTTGCAGTCTTTGAAAAAAGTTATACGTTATGAGAGGAAATAGTCTCGGCAGCTTGTCGTTGTGCCTCAGGGAGTTATTTTTTTGCGGGAATCTAATTTGAAGGAATTTTTCAATGGGATATGACGTAGATTTTTGACATCGAGCTCGCGAGTATAAAATATTTTGTTATAATCTTTGCCGATGGAAGATTAACGATCAACAGAATCCAAAGGTCAATACTTTACTATAGCGCAGTAATTTCACTTGCCCATTGCAATGACATGCTAATTATTGGAAAAACTGAAACTGGCCACCATCCATGCGTGATTTTACCACAAAAATTTTATTATTGATTATTAATAGTAATGAGTCTCGAGTTATCAAAATAAATCANGTGGACAGTAATGGTGGACAGTAATGGTGGACTGTAATGGTGGACAGTAATGGTGGACAGTAATGGTGGACAGTAATGGTGGACAGTAATGGTGGACAGTAATGGTGGACAGTAATGGTGGACAGTAATGGCGGACAGTAATGGTGGACAGTAATAGTGGACAGTAATGGTGGACAGTTGTGGCGGTCATCTCACCTTACCAGCATACGCTGTTCTTGTTGAATAAAATATATAAAATGTTAAATTCGGAAGTTGCAACTTCCCAAATTTACGTCGCAAAAACTAATAATCACGATCCTTTTCTTGTTTATTCGTCTAATTTTATAAAGCTGCTTGAAACTTGTGTGCTTCACTTACAAATAACTATTGTTTCAATATGTTTAGTAAGCCGGGATGGCATCTAAAGTCCGCTTGGTGTGTGATACCCTAAATAAAGATTTATTATACCTATTTTTGGTTAAATTAATCGTAATCGTAATAAATCACAAAGTTATCGATTATTTATAAATTTTAGTTTTGTACCAGCAAACTGTAATTTAGATTTATTTGAACTAATTTAGTCGAAAGAACAAATTTGAGTGATAACTGATTGCCAGTCAAAATTTCATTTTATTTTTAACCGTAAACATGAACGAAACTAAACCGAACAAATTAAAAAATGTTAAGAAGAATGAAAGCAACAATTGATTCACATGCGTCTTTTATTGATCAAATTACATCAATTTACATCAATGGAAAAGAAAATCATAATTTGCACCAAATAATTGAATAAACGTCACTTCCTGAGAATTAATTGACATCTATATCTACTATGACTTGAGAAGAGAATTACTATTCATTATTTCTAGAACTAGTTTCTATACTTAATTAAATAGCTTTAAGTACTGGCCACTGTCCCAAATAAAAACATTCAGGTCAATAAAATACTAAAACGTACAATTTATGAACACTTAATGACAATGATTTTGTCATTACGCTTAATGATAAAGAATTAAGTTTGTGCCATTGCCTTAACATCACTAGCATTAAGCCGCACATATATCATATTTTTTCGAATTCTAAATTTCACCAAAACAACCTGCACTCCATGAACTTACGATCTCTTAACTTTTTTTTGAAAGTATTGGCCCTGATGCTCTTCCTATACGTGAGATGTCTATCGAACATAAGAGACAAAATCATATTAACTTCAATAAGAGATTCTCTTAAAACAAAACACATGTCACTTCAGGGAGAGGTTAAAAATTATCACCCACTGTGAATACTCTCATCGATAAAAAAGTTCAAGAATGATTAAAATTTAATAATTTTCTTGTTCAGTTATTTTTGAGCTTTGCTGCATCGTTGCTTTTAATCTCATTGAATTTATTTCTACCATCTAACATGAATAACATATTTGATATGTTATATGTTGTTCATCCGATATGTTCTCAAATAAATATTTATGAAATTTATATATTTTCAAGTTTAACGTGTTTTCCATATGAATAATTTTTTTGTTTCATGCGTAACTATATATATAATCGGTGTCTATTTACCTTCGAGTTGATCATTATAATTAATCAAAGAATTTGAATTAAACCTGATTTTGTCATGCTTGTAAGTGCACTAGAATAAGATAACTGTTTATTTATGCACCACAGAAATTGGCACTACTTATTACACAATTTCATAACATTTATTTTCGCTACTTAAAATTTGTGAATGTTAACTCGGTTCTGTTATTAGTTAAATTGTAATAGTTTTCTTTGATTTGTATTCGAAATTTGTCACTTTTACACTTTACACATTTCCCAATTTTATTTCAAGCATAAAATATTTCAGTACCAATTTAATTTAATGTTTGCAACTGTAATTTTATTAGTTTCATAATCTCAAAACGAATGTAAGTTAATAAATTAAAAAAGTGTTCTCAACGTATAAAAACAATCCATTTTAACTGCCAACACTGTGACACTGCACGTCCAGCTTGCGGACAGGATGCCGATCTCGTCATGTACAGTCATGTGATAATTAATCGGACTCTACCTGCGTGCCTACATCGGGCTGTTGTTGTTGTGGTTCCCCGGTCTCATTTTTATAAGAGGACTGTAGCGAATATACGTGACTTCGAATTATGTGAAGAGCAATAGGTCAATGAGGCTTTGTCGATAATGGCAATAATTGTACATTTTAGAACCTGTAATCAAGATAATGTGTGAGTTTATTTATACTGCAAAGGACTACATTAAAAGTTAAATGCGAATGGAACTCAAACAAGTTCAAACGATTTTTCGTCTGCCTTAGAAAACAACGAGGAAATTTGTCGCTGCCACTGAAGTGAGCAAAATATTTAAACCAAAGTTTTGCTTGGCTCTAACTTTTAAATTTAATAAATATTTTCTGTGTGCATCAAACCGCCAATAAATTTCAAGAACACGTTACATTGCCAAATTTGATATTTGTGTCAATATTTGGGTAACAGAAATTAAAAAAGTCAACTTTGTTGTATTTTTAAATAGCGACTCAAATGCTTACCTTCCTGACGTTACATAATATGTGTCATGGCATTGTCTACTATCAGCGTTAAGATTCAAAATGCAGTTGAATTACGAACTATGTATTCACCCAACTGACGAAATCGGACAAATATCGTCTAGAGCTACGTACGTTCATATGCTACGGTCATGTGACGAACGATTGTTCACTTCGAATGACAGAAAAATTTTCCACATTCACGAGGAACAACCGTACAAACAGTAACAATCATGATTGAAATTTGTATCTAGGCTGAAGGAATTTTTTTTATTGAGTGCAGATTTCAAAGACACATGAGGGATGAGCTTACTAGTACTTCTCATATATATGACAGTGAACCATCTATTTAAAAGTCTCGACGATCTTTTTTGCCTCGGCTGAAGGAAAATTTTTCATCGAGTGCTGATTTCAATGGAAGAATTTATCAATACCTCTCATATTTATGACATTGAACCATCTACTTTAAAATCTCGATGATCATTTCTTTACAGATTTAGAACAACTGTAGTCCGTCTTCTCGTGCAGAAGTGATACTCGATGAGTTGATCGAAATCGCCCCAGTTGATATTCGTCGTCTTGCCTCGTCGTCTGAGGTCAGAGTCATGGCTGCCAGGGGCGTTCTGAGGGAAAACAAGAAAATTTAGAGGCGCTGTTGAGCATCAATTTGTAGTAAAACGATAGAAAATGGAAGATAATGCGGTTGCTGTATTTGTGTAGTGTTGCGGTTTAATTCCTCTTATCAATTTTATGCATATCTTAACAACAGCCAGAAATATAATTTTTTAAATTAGAAAACAATTGTTACGGGAAAAAATTCCTGTTTCATAAAGCCTCACTCTACCGAAGACATTCCGTTATTTTTGACTTTAGGCTGATTTAAAATAAACTGTTCTTTTCGGTCTCTATGCAAGATGATGCAATCATATTGAATAACCAAATATTTTATGACCTTTGCCGGGTACTATAAAAGAAATTTCTGCACAATTTACCTGTATAGAAACTAAATAAATATTGTCGCCGTGTACACAGGTTTCTATACCGAAAGATTGCTATTCGACATATTGATCGAGGCATGTTTCTAGAGAAAACAAACTTTATTTTCGAACAAAAATCACTGAGCTTTCGATAATCATGGAACCACGAAAAAATTTTATTTGAAGCAGTTTATTGAAAAGTTATATTTATTATCATTAATATCATATCATTATATGGTTGGAGCATTTATTTTTAAAGGTGCGAAGTTTTATCGCAGGTGTTTAAATTAGTTGCAATAGAAGTAATTATGATACTTTTTCAGTCGCTGATTTTTGGGTAAACAGACTGTGGCTACTTAATATTCATTCAGCAATTAATTTCTATAATTTAAAACGGAAGAGTTAATAGAACCATGTGATTTATTATCAGAAATTTAAAATTTTGCAGAAGTGAAAATTATTGAAGCATTGTTTTATATTTATACAGACATTTTGAGCACAAGAGATATGTACGGCTATGAATTTACTTCTAGCTAGAGTTTATCTCAGTGAGAAAATGACGTTGGAACAACGTTAAATTAACGTTAATTTCACGAAACAACATTTAATGAAGGTTTACATATAACAAAACGACATTTAAAAAACATTGATTCAACGAAACAACGTTTAATTAAGATTGATTTAACGAAACAATGTTTAATTAAAATTGATTCAACGAAACAACGTTTAATTAAAATTGATTCAACGGAACAACGTTTAATTAAAATTGATTCAACGCAAAAACGTTTAATTAAAATTGATTCATTGAAACAACGTTTAATTAAGTTGATTCAACGAAATAACGTTAATTAAAATTGATTCAACGAAACAACGTTTAATTAAAATTGACTAAACGAAACAACGTTTAATTAAAATTGATTTAACGAAACAACGTTTAATTAAAATTGATTCAATGAGACAACGTTTAATTAAAATTGAATCAATGAAACAACGTTCAATTAAAATTGATTCGACGAAACAACGTTTAATTAAAATTGATTCAACGAAACAACGTTTAATTAAAATTGATTCTACAAAATAACGTTTAAGTAACGTCGAAATTAATGTCAACGAAATTATGTTCAAATAACATTGATTCAATGAAACAACGTTTAAATAAAATTGATTCGACGAAACAACGTTGAATTAACATTGGTTCAACGAAACAAAGTTTAATTAAAATTGATTCAACGAAACAACGTTTAATTAAGTCGAAATTATTATAAACAAAATTGTGTTCAAAATTATAAGTGCTATTGAGCTGCCTCCGCAGACTATTATAAGTACTATTGAGCTGCCTCCGCAGACTATTACAAAGCCATTGCTTTTTCACACCTGGTTTTATCGTGAGAATATTCAGGAGCGACGTGGCGGATGAATTAAAGGCAGTAGCGTGCTGTAATGCACCTCTCAATGGACGGAACGATTCAGGTGAGTGAATTTATATTGAAGGTATTATTTTTAGCGCACTTTCTCATTTATAGAAAAACGACGCTATTGTGCGTCTGTCTGTCTTTTTTTATCAAGTTTTTATCTCTGTTCACCAACTGAAATTGCAAAGATTTAATGTGGAATTTATTGAACTCACTTTGTTGGTCTTTTATTATCTTTTATTTTCAATCTTATGTGTGACGTGCCCTCGAAGTTCGTTTGAACCAGACGCCACGATGAATGCTTCGTAGAATAATAATAATAATAATAACAATAATAATAATGATGATGATAATTATAATAAAAAAAATAATAATATTATCTAACGTTTATGAAATTCAATTGTTGTGTTCTTATTTGCAGTAATTGTGAAATAGTCGTAGAAAAAACTCATTATTACTTACTAATAGAAAGTAATAAAAAATTACTAACATTAATACATTTACTTCCTAATATTTTTTCATTGCTATATGAAATTTTTTTAAAATAATCCCAATTCTTCACGGAAAATTATTGTACTTTCGCAAATTCTCGGAAGGTTATTTATAAATTAAATACTCCCTAGTTATATATAATAAAATAAATTTAATTCCATCAAGCGATTGTTTTTTAAAATTTAAATTTATATATGTTTGGGCCAGGCACAATTAATGGAATCAGACCACCGAACTTCCATTTTGATGATTACAGAATAAACATGCAGTGAATGAACAGTTAATTTAAGCCAAATATGTATGGAACCAGATTCCAAATACATTTCATGGAACCAGACTATTGATAATGATACATGCGGTCCTATACGTCAGGTCGGTCAGTTCACAACATAAATAAATTTTTAAAAAGAAAAGGACAAAAATAATGCGTGCAAAATATTGACCAGTAAAGTACAGGGGTAGATTTAAATTGGCTCTATGGGCCACTTTAATGCAACTTGTTCAGCTTTGCAGTCATTACCACATCCTCCTATAGTAACGGCCATATAATTGATTGTTTTATTATTAACTATTATTTTATTTTAATAATTTCAAAAATATCAAAATCAGCATTAAGTGTTCTATAATGGAACGTTATTATGAGGAATCAATAACCAAAAACAAGACGACATATGGTTCCTTACCTCAATATTTTTCCAATCAGTGCGTATCATAGATGTCCTCCCCAAGCTCCTTCCATCCTCCATACATTAAAAGCGTAGCTAAGCTTCTCGTGCGCTACGTAGTTGCACGATGACGCTAGCCTTGCGTCGTGGTGGTCTGTCTCCAAAACTTGGTACAAAAAGTCAATATAACGAATGGCCAGTTTTAAAGTCTGGATTTTGGAAAGTTTGTCGGACGGTAAAGTTGGTATAATTCTTCTGAGAGAACTGAAACCTTCATTTAAACTCTGAGTTCTTTGTCGTTCTCGGACGTTGGCCAAACTTCGGGCTTGTTGAATCTCTTGGTAACTTTGATGGGTTGTTCTCTTGCGATGACGGTGCGACCTGTCGCTCTCATTCGAGATACTCGAACTTGTACTCTGAGTATCGTCATCGTTCTCGATGTCAGAAATTGGTCTCTTGATGCCCCGTTTGACCTGAGATGAGTTCGTATCGTGGGTATCGTTGGAACCTCTATTGACTGTGGACGAATATGTGGAGACTGTGGTGCATGTTGCCGGCGAACATGAAGACGTTTCATGGACGTTCATAATCTGTTGTCCATAATATGATTGTGGAAAATCACTGGAGTAATCCATATGTTTTTCAGTTTTGAAAGTAGTGTCACTTAATCTGTGATCAAGCTGCTGGTTGGTTGAGTTGCCTTGATGGTTCATGTTGTTTGGGTGTGTTGGATATTCAGTGTTAGGATTAGTATTCAAGTTGAACAAGCTGAGTAACGGTCCACTGTTTTGATCCCTCAAGCTAAATGAGCCACGAATGAGTGATTTTGAACCGTTTTGTTCATTGTGAGCGCATGACATCAAAATATCGTCGTTTTCAGTTTTGATATCAATTTCAGGTACCATGGTATCAGTTCGCTGTACCATTTTGAGGTGTTCAATTTCTTATAATAATTATGAATCTTCATGAAATTCAAGAAATGACTTGTAGTACCTCGAAGAAACATGTAACATAGCAACCACTAAAATTTGAATTTGTCAATGTGTTGTCCGATATTATGATTATTAATATATTTTCAAGTTCATTACGTCAATCAACACTCCGTGCTCGTAAGTGTCACAAGCTTTGAACGATTCAGATTTTTTCATTGCGACCATAGAGCTCATTACGTGAAGACAATGATGTGACGCTAAAGCGTACGCTCGCAATCTACCGAAGTTGCCATTATAGTGACAGTTAATGAGGCAGGCGGTGTGATTAACTTGGTTATTATGTTGTCTCCCAAATCGTTAGCTCAGACTTCTAATTATAGTAATACTCACTAATTTAAGTAAAACTTTTTTAAGTTCAGAGCACTCGAATCGATCCGTTTTAATTTTTTTTAACCGGACAAATACAGGACTGATGCTCACATCTAATCTCTTCAGTTAGAAATGAACATCACAGACTCTTCATTTCCAGCTAAGGCACCAGATATTTGTCAGTTGTTCTTCCCTGGGGCGAAGATAACCACGGACAAAGACGGTTACTGGCCTAGCACGATGAGGTCACTGGTTACACATCCTGTATCTCATCAAGAACTGCAATTAGAATGTGAGACTAGCCGGGGAAGACCACGACGCGCACTGAACTGAGTTGGGGAGAGTTAGTGGGGCTAGAAGAGGGAGGGATCGGCTTGGTGCCCTCGTGGGGAACGTGTAGTTGACTATCATCACCAGACTTTAGAATAAATAGAATTGAGTTGAACTTTGGTGAAGCCCTAGTAAAGATTATTATTAACCCAGGATTTCAGTTTAAATTGGAAAAAATCTAAAATTATTGACGTATTACAGGGTATTGAAAAATTTGAAAATGGGGATGTTAAAATAATTTTACTTTCACACTTCCGCGAAAGATTTTATGCGATCATTCAACACAAACGACGTAGGCTAATTAGTGTGGAATTTGTAGACATGATACGCCAGTGACGAAAGATACACATTCGTGAGACTTCTTGTCAATCGTGTGATACCAAGGGAATGTGTTAATATTCTCAGTCAAACTATATTTTTCCTTTCTTGGATTCAATTTGTAAACTTGAATATAACCTTGCTATTAAAATTTGCAGATTTAGTCGTCGAAATTTTTTGCAAAACATTTTACCTTAAATAACTAAAACAGAAGGAAGAAGTCGGATTCTGCAAACTACAATTTCCCTAATCTAGTTGCCATCGAATATTAACTACAAAAATTTTAAATTTGAATTCAATCAATTCTAATCACGTACATAATATCAAATCCCAGCATTAATTTTCACTTGTTTAACTCAGGAAAAATATTTTTTGAAAATTAGAACTATATTTCGAAATGGCATCTGAGAACAACCCTCAGGCCAACCGACCAATGGGAAGTATTGTAGAACAGAAGCTCCTCCCGTGACAGCAGCGAAACACTCAAAAGGTTTTATGAGACGATCGGTATGACAAAAACGCGGTAATTGTGATGAAGCGACTGTCACCGCAGAATTTATTTCGCAACTAGAAATGTCGCGCTTAGAAATTCGACTCGCACAGTACAAGAAAACTCGCTAAGTTAAGATACAAGGAGATGAGATTGCCAAGCCTCTTTGAGCTTTATTTGATTGATTTATTAACTTCCCAGGCTTACTTTATTCGACTCATGTCATTATATGAAGATGTTGAGTATTGGTTTGTCCATATATAGGGCATTGTGCTTACAACAATTACCTACATAAAAGATGAAGAGCTAATATTTTTGAAAGCATTATTAATTATTGTATCCATTGAGATACTGTGGTACGAAATTCATAGTGAAAAACACAACGCATTTATTGAATAATTTGCGGGTTGGTGCTTTTCCTCCATTGTACTCGAACATTGTTGTTCTGTTCTTTGAAAAAAAGTATCGAATTGCCGCAAAAAATTACATTAGATTAAAATGTCAACCCCTATATACACATATGATAAAATAACACCATCAGCAAAGTTCCTTTTCTAGTTATGTTTTATGAAAAAAAAATACAAAATGAAACTATCAATTCTCGTTGGATTATTTTATCACTTAATTGGGATGAGGCATCGCTATTAATATTGAAGTTTTCGACAATGTTGGCAAGACTTAAAAGTTAGTATTAATCTGTCATAATTAAAATAAAAATGGATCATAACATAAGTAAATGATAACGTACCAAATTGCTGAACAATCTCGGTCAAGTTTGGTTCAAAATGAATTTTGTCTGAGCTCATTAACTCCGGTCCTGCCTAAAAGGTCCCAACCTTATGTACACGAGAGACGTATGCCTAGTAAAATTCTTTACAATAGTTCAAATAAAAAATTCGGCAAGGTTTTAGAAGCCATAGAAAATTCTAAAAATTTGGTTGTATCCGAGATACGGTAAACAATATACAATAAAGTGAACAATAAACTTTATTGCGCATCAGGAGAGAAAATGTAGAAGAATATACGTTAATTGTTCACCCTTCGTGACTGGAAGTTTTGTTCCTCTGCAAATAAAGTCCACCAGTTTTGATTTAATTTACAGTAAATTGTATTGGTTGGCCTTTTTCATCCTGAAACAAAGGCTCAGTGATCTAATAATGAAATGTCTTAATTTACTAACTTTTGAACTAAGCATGTGTGTAATATGTACGAAGTAATTAATTGAAGTAGTATTTTAAGATTTCAATATTGTCAATAATGAAAGAAATCTAACTAAATGTAGTTAACAGAGGAGATTCCATGAATTTTAAATAACGCATTTTCAATGGATGCGTTGTATAAATTTGTGAACATTACTGTAAACTACAACTCACATGATTTAATTACAACAAATCAAGCGTCCTGCTCTAATAGAATATAACTTCTGTGAACTGCAGGAATGTGTGAGAATAATGTAACAATAATAACTGAAAATCCCAATATGATTTGTCTATCTAACATCCTATAGGTTGACTGCGAAATCAGACTGTCCCGGAAGCAGCTTTTGTAGTATAACTGAAGTACGGTCGGCAACTGTAATTATGCAGTAAAATGTGTAGTACTGAAGTACGGTCGACAGCTGCACTGTAGTAAAATATGTAGTACTGAAGTACGGTCGACAGCTGCACTGTAGTAAAATGCGTAGTACTGAAGTACGGTCGACAACTGCACCGCAGTAAAATGTGTAGTACTGCTGTACGGTCGACAACTGCACCGCAGTAAAATGTGTAGTACTGAAGTACGGTCGACAACTGTAACGCAGTAAAATGTGCAGTACTGCTGTACGGTCGACAGCTGCACTGTAGTAAAATGCGTAGTACTGAAGTACGGTCGACAACTGCACCGCAGTAAAATGTGCAGTACTGCTGTACGGTCGACAGCTGCACTGTAGTAAAATGCGTAGTACTGAAGTACGGTCGATAACTGCACCGCAGTAAAATGAGTAGTACTGAAGTACGGTTGACAACTGCATTGCAGTAAAATGAGTAGTACCGAAGTACGGTCGACAACTGCATTGCAGTAAAATGAGTAGTACTGAAGTACGGTCGACAACTGCAGTGCAGTAAAATGTGTAGTACTGAAGTACGGTCGACATCTGAAACGCAGTAAAATGTGTAGTACTGCTGTACGGCCGACAACTGCAACGCAGTAAAATGTGTAGTACTGAAGTACGGTCGAAAACTGCAACGCAGTAAAATGTGTAGTACTGAAGTACGGTCGACAACTGTGTCGACAACTGCAGCGCAGTAAAATGTGCAGTACTGAAGTACGGTTGACAACTGCAGCGCAGTAAAATGTGTAGTACTGAAGTACGGTCGACAACTGCAGCGCAGTAAAATGTGCAGTACTGAAGTACGGTTGACAACTGCAGCGCAGTAAAATGTGTAGTACTGAAGTACGGTCGACAATTGCAGCGAATTAATAGTGCAGTTCGGATGTACGGTTGCAGTGAGTTTTGCGCGATTGGAATCGTTCAAGACTCACTTGCAACTGCCACTTACACGACGTGGAATTATCATGGATCAACATTTGTGATTCAACATATATATCAACATATCAATTCAACAGCATTTTCAACTTATATAACACGTCTGGTTCAACATAAAAATTAACAACTGAAATAATTTCCCCGCTTGTAAACCTGATCTCCTCGGCACAGCTCGCAGGTACATAGGCGGCGCCCACCCATATCAACAACATTTTCAACTTATATAACTTATATAACACGTCTGGTTCAGCATAAATATTACCAACTGAAATAATTTCCCTGCTTGTAAACCTGGCGCCACACTTTCAAAACTCGTTAAGTGAACGGAAGTACTTACGCTCTATTTACTTGTAAAATTTTGTGGATTTTGCTTGAAAAGTCGTCAATGATTGGCTGATGAACTTACGATCTCTTAACTTTTTTGAAAGTATAGGCCATGATCTTCGGCGCTGCTCGCAGGTACATAAGCGATGCCCACCGTCCCCGCACCCAGCGTCCCTGCAGCGCCGGACTGCGGATGCGGTCGCCGACTTCTGGCATGTGGTTGCGGAGGTGTGAACGAAAGCCCACGTGCCTGACCTTACTTTAAAATCATGGCAGTCTTATCGGCGGCCGACGTACAGAGATGAATTGGCCACCGGAAAGTTGGTAGACGTTGGCATTAAAGCTGGAAAGCAAGGATACTGCTAGTTAGCGCAGTGGTAATTGCGACCTGGTCAGCTCACCTCAGTTTCCGCTGAGAAACGAATGTTATTTGCTTGAATATAATAGCTGCTTGTGTATGGAGCAGCATGATGAGTTGGTGAACGTTATTTGCTGAAAATTATTGGTGAAATCATTATTATCAATGTTATTTGGTTGGTGAAAATGCATAATATTGATAACTTGTGTGCTGATAATCTAACAATACAAGAAACCTGAATTCTATAGATGAAGAAGTGCTGTTAATGAAGGTAAATGACTTCGATTTTGTTTCAAGCACCGAGGTGTGCATGTTCCATTGAATTTAAGCATTTTTATAGCTTAGAGTATCAGTTAAAGAGTATTTAGCTCATATGTTGGTGAAACGATCGTTATAGAATTTAAGTGGCTATTGCAAATTTTTGTTAAATTATAGTATCGTTAGACGTTCATTCTCAATCAGGGTTTGACTATCAATCTTTCTCCTACAAAATGAGGAATAATAGAAATAATTCATTCTGTTTAGAATGAAACCAATTACATTTTTACCTATCATTTAAGTAATTTTCTCAAGCAAAAATTGTTGACAATGTGCATTAGATTCCTTTGTCACGTTTTCAGTAGGGGAAATTTTGAAGGTTTTTGCAAAATATATTTTTTTCAATGTTGAAACGTTTAATGTTTTAATTGCCCTTTTCAATTTCACAAATAATTTTAAGTTTTTTAAATTGGTCTAAATTTACTGCCAATTGATGGCTGAGTGATTCCATCAGCTCTTCATATGAAGAAAGTTGCAATACAAATTTTCAGAATAAAGTTCGATAGATGAATTTAATGAATATCAAATTTAAGTAAACGTAATACCTATAGAGGTCAGAGCTTGGATCAAGGGAACTTGATCGATGCTTTCTGCGCCGATAAACATTTTGGATCTGTATAATTCTAAAAATTTGGTTGTAGCCGAGAT